ACACAACGTGTCCTTTCAAATCACTTGTGTTTTAAATACAAATAGTAGTAATAATAATAAAATAATTAATTTTTATATAACTTCAGTGTCATTCGATGGCTGTCTAAATCTGTTAATAATTTGAGAGCTGATAGTATCAGCGAATATTCTGGAAGCAACTTACAATTAGTTATCCTTCTCTATTTCATCCACTGTTTTCGTTCTTGGTTCCTTGTCATCTCAGTTCATGAAAGAAAATGAGTCTGTTCCGTTATTACATATAAGGTATTTCGTACAAGTTAATTTTGCAACATCAGAATTATTCGCTATATTAAGGCGACCTAATATAATCCGAAAGCGATATCCACGATTTTGGTGCATCCAGCTCCTTATCCACTGAACAACTTTAAATACTGATATTTTGTTTTGATATTTTGATCTCTAAATAATGACCTTGGACTCTTGGAATCCATCTGAAATTGAATAGATCCCATGTAGACCCACTTTATCTAATACTTTTGGTTAACTTGGATCTAAGTCAAGTTATGTGACAGAATCACTTTCACTCGTTATCTACACATATTTGTCATAGACAAGCAGCTCCGACTCTATGACCTTTCAGGCAAAAAAATAATTGTTTCTATGGCATCATCCGTGATTTTGAGTGAAAAAATAGGCACTTCTTTTTCATACCTGTCTCATCTTCGATGGCTACTACGATAGCTTTAAAAACTCTCCCTGACGTGTCATCGAATTACCTTTTTCTCGGCCTTTTCTATTTCGACAGCTTTGACACTTGACAATGTCTAAGGGGGGAGACGTTCATTTTGGATAACGAGATCTTTTGAAATAAGAGCATGCTGCATTATAGGTAAAATGGAGGCGCAAGACTATGCACTAGCTTCGAAAGGGGGCCTTTATTAACAAAAATGTTGTAATTTGTGCATAAGTGTTTATTTAGCTCAATGCAAAACTTAGGGGAATATTATTACAACTATTGAACATCATTGCTTGAAAAAAAGATATACACGTAATTAAATTGTCGAGGTATTCCTTAGGGACCCTAGACGAAATTCGATAAGTGGTTTATACTGTTGTACAGTGAGTTCTTCAATTTATTTTTCCCAGGGTTCGAGTAGGCAAAATCTTCGTTTTTACTTGAAGGGAAAAAATAGATACCATCGGTGCTATTATTATGTGGGTGTGTGTTTCCCATCTCCACCGCCAATTATATCAATGAATGAGTAAGGCGTTTTTTGACGTTCAAGGTTGCGACATACGGGCTAAATACAAGCCTTTAATTACTGGCAATCGATTAGTTCTGAAGTAATTGTCAACATAAGAACTAATAATTACCGATCTACGTTCCATTGAACTTTATGCACGTATCATCGAAATTAATTAGGAGTTGCATTGCGCAATTATTATTTTCAAAGCTTGGTGACCTCTTTAGGGTATTGCGTCGTCCTATCATGTTTTTTTTGGCTTAAGGCTGCAACATTTACTGAGTGCGAAATGCTGGCGATGAAATATACGAACTCTAAGTTCATGGTCATAGCTTCATATGCCAGAGTAGATCGGATCAAATAACCATTTCTGTGCATTTCATCACCAAGCAACCAGTTCGTATCAAAGATACTTAACGCCTCGCGTGCATGTACAAATTATCTCATATTTCTTCTTATTCTATTAAATTAAATGGAACAAGAAATCCAATTTTTGAAGGACATATAAGTCGAATTTGTAAATAGCCTCCCCTGAAGCCTTACCAATATTATCTCAAATTTTTCTTCCAATTTTCACTAATTTAGTAGTAACTCAAAGCTCAAGCCATATTAGCACACTCCTATTCCGGAGCGCCTTTACGTCAGAGGTAATTGCGTTGCGTTAACTGATACAATGAATTCCCTAATCCTCGTATGATATCATTTGCTGTCACATTTTCTAAACTTTTACGCGTAAATGATCAACAACCTACTTGCTCCTTAACTTTGATACTTACAAACAATGGTAACTACTGGGTTTCGATTCCAGGACCCTCTGGAAAGTATCTTTCGTAAATTCAAAATACCATTACTTTCGTCGTATGATCTTAAATCAATCGACCAATAGGACGACTGCACTGGAAATGAAACGTAGCTGTTCACGCGGTCAAAAGTCCCGCATTTCCTCCTCTCTCTTTCTCTCTCCCCCACCCTCTCTCTCCCTCTTCAAGAACAAGAGAATCATCGGGTGGGGAAGGGAGAGGTAATTTATCACATACACCCTGACTGATTTTTTTCCTTGTCGTTTCCCCTTGCGCTTCTGACCAAAAAGGGAGAGGACAATTTTTGTTTCCAGAAAACGCAGTCTCCCTTTCCGCCACCCCTTCTATTCTAAATGCCACATTTTAGCCACCGGTTCAATCTATCCCTCTCTCCCTTCCCACACAAACCAAGCGACGCCATTCGTCGTCGTCGTCGTCCTTTTACCTTCGGTGCACCTAAGGCGGGAGAGTGACTTTATTGCTATCCGGGTCACACAGACCATCTTAGAGAGGGGGGGGGGGAGACCATGGACCCTTAAGATAAACACACACACACACACACATGCCCTGCAACATGTAGCCACCTCACACTCTCTGCTGTGAAGGCTATATTTCCCCACTTTTTTCCAGCCACGCTCGCCTGACTAGGACACTGTCTTTACTTGCATGATCGATCAGTAAAATGCACTTCTTTTGACTCTTTCACAGCTCCATGTTTAAGATTGGCTTTGTTTGCCGACCACACTACACCTGATAGCTTTTTCAGAACAGTATTGCAACTCAATGAATATATCTGTTCATAAAGATACTATGCTTCATACTATTCTGACAATCTACGGGCGTGGGATGTTGTTCAAGATGTCCATTTCTCATCTCGCTTCGGAAAAACATGTTGTCGATTTTTCGAAAGGTATTTTAAAGAGACCCATTGAAAATAATTTCAACTGTAAGATGCTTTCTAATTTGCTGCTCCAACCGCCTTTAGACACCCATTTCGGTTAAGGGGTACCCCTGAAAAACGCATTTAGCCAAATCTAATTTGGCTGCTATTGAAGTCTGTAGTCTAGCATCTGAATCTCTACTGTTTCTTAATTTCAATTGACAATTGTCAAGACCCTATCTTCATTAATTATCTGGGCTTCGGAATGCTAAAACTGTCGAGTGATTTATCGGTGTCTTAAGAGCAATTTCGTAGTTTCACCAATTGTTGTAAGTGTTAACTCCTTTGCATTCTATTCAAAATTTTTCATTGTTCAATATTTGCGTAGGCACATTTGGCAGACACATTAGTGATAAACCCCAAGGAAGCCTTGATAGCATAGCCAAACCTTGAGAATATGTAACGAGTTTAGATAAACAAAGTGGCAGAATAAATATTAATTGAATGCTAACTATCCGCTTATTCACCAACAAAAGTAATGCCATATTTGAACCCGAAATTTGCCTGTTTGTACATTAATTGTAATATTTTAATTAAAAGTACCTTAACTGTCGCTTGATCGGTAGGCGAAGGATCTGTCTAGTGTGTCAAAACAAAAGCCCTAAAAATTCTGTTTTGGCTGAGAGTTTCGGTAAGCAGAAATAATGCAAATGTCGAAACGCAGAGTCACATTCTCTATTTTGATCGCACAAATCGTCGTCACCTCCGGGGGGAGAATTTTCGGTCATTGTGGATAATGACAACGTCGCGTTGTCTTCACACGCGCATTGCATCGTTTTCGACACCCACTCGACGTAATCCCCGTTGGGTTATTCTCTCGACAGGTGGCGTAAATACGCAAATACACTCACACCGTCTCCGGTGGTGCTTTCGGAGGTTAAATTGCCTTGTAGTGGTTGCGGTCACATACGCCAAAAAGCAGGGGTTGGGGTGGGGTGGGGGGGGGGGGGGGGGGGGGGAGGCAGGGAGGTGGGATGGGATGTTGGTTAGGTGGGGTTTAAAAGAGGACGTAGCATGACTAATTGGGGATTTAGAGGGCAACCGTCCTGGTGGGAGCTTGGGAAACCTGTTTGGTTGGTTTTGTGTGTTGGTTGCAACAACGTTGCCGTTGCTGCAGCGTGCGAATCTTCACGAGCTCCCACGATTGTGTGTTGTACAACAAGTGAATTTTCAAAAGAACATTTTTGAATTTGTGTTGACAGGTAATTTGAGAGTTTGTTTGGCTCCAGAGCGCTATTTGTCAGAATTCTGGTTTTGTTACCGCTAACACCATTTGGTGTTGTCTACAGGTGTGAACGACTATTTGCTGTTCTTTTTCCTCCGAATTTGGATGTCATCTTGCCATTCTATCAATTTTGGTCACAAAAGTATCTGTGCTAATCAGATATACACATTCGATAATACCCCTGTGTGCGCCGAAATCTTAACTGAATTGGAAGAAAATGGAGCTGATTTATTAAAAAAAATAGTATTCAAAATGCGAATATTTTATCTTTTAACAAATATTGGCTTGTGTCAACGATGGAATTGTTAGAGAGGAAGGACTTATCTGGAAAATTAAAGGTACAACGGCGAAATTCAGTCTCATTTTTAAGTTCAGATTAACTTTACTTCTCTGTTCACTTTGTTCTTTTGCTCCTCTTAATACAGTAAGATTTCCGGCAGTTTTGAAATTGAAATGTGTACTCTTAAGTGTTGAGAGGCAAACGAAATTAAGCTTTTGGCAAAGGAAATGGGAGTATTAGCTGATTTCTCAACGCCGCGACAACTTACCTTTTTCATGTGGGAAGATGTAAAGTTGACTAATTTTCGGAATCAGGTAAAATAAATTAACTGATATTTGAATTGCAAATTAGGACCACCTACTTACTCAAAAGAGGTGTTGGTATACCGCCTGTCTTGATTTAAAGGATGCCAACAACTTGTTAAACATCATTTGCATTTTTTCTTTCAACTCTTTCATTATGACGAATTGGGAAATAAATCCTTTTTTCCCCAAATTCTAATTTCACCCTCATTTTTCTCATTTCAGATACAAGTCATGCAATACGCCGGATGAGGATGCTGAATATCCTTGAAATAATATCTTTTCTATTCATCCACGTTCTGTTGACTTGTTCACGCATCGGAGCTACTTCAGGAAATGGTTCTCCTCCACAAATTCTACTCTCTCCTGAAGATACCTTCCCTGTAGAAGGAAATCTAGAATTCTCCTGCAAAGGAACTGGCTTTCCCGAACCACGTATCTCTTGGTTTGATGCAAATACGCTAAAACCTATTGATGGGACCGCCTCTAACATACATATCAATCAGTATCTTGGTCGACTGACTATTGCTGATCCTGAAGTAAAACGAACATACTCCGTATATTGCAATATTTCAAACACGGTTAGCTGGGTTGCTAGTCCAGTGGTACATGGTGGATTGGCGTATCTCGAACATGACTTTCCGCGATTTCCCATTGATAGGACAGCAGAAGAAGGAGATATTGTTCTGATAGAATGCCAACCACCTAGAGGAAATCCACCCCCAACAACTGAATGGCTTCTTAACAATGCCCAACTTCCACCGGGTTGGGGTTCGATAAGTCCCGAAGGAGACCTACATATTCGAGAAGCAAAGCCCCAACACACTGGAACATATGCTTGCAGAGCAAAGAATGTCGCTGGAGAACGAATATCACCTTCTGCAATTTTACATGTTAAACGAAAGGCTGTTAGATTTCTTCAGAAACCTAGGGATAATAAAGCCATTGTTGGTTCATCAGCCACTTTTCATTGTCAAGTTTCCGATTCACAGCCTGTTTCTTGGAGGCGTGATAATGGTGAGCAGCTCTTCGCTGGACAACGAATTCAACTGTCCCTTAACTCCATGACAATCCGAAATATTCAGCTCTCGGATGCTGGGAAGTATATCTGTGTTAGTGCTGATGGTTCAAGTACTGCTGAAGCAAGGCTTTCCGTGTCTGCTATTCCAAAACCTGTTTTTACCCATTTCCCTACTGATCAAAATGTTACTGAGGGTGATTCGGTAGTTTTCCATTGTCGCACCTCGGGCCCTCACAAATTCTCATCCTACTGGGACCTACCTAATCAAATGGCTGTCTTTCCAAATGATCAAATTGAAGGTATCTTTGTGAGTGAACAAGGTGATCTACATATTCGTGGTGTACGCCTAGAAGATAGTGGTATCTATCAGTGCACAGTTGATTCTGATGTCGGCCCTGTAACTCGCAAAGCCGTTTTGAGAGTATTTCCTCGATTGGCATCCAAGGATGCAACTCCACTTCCTCCTATTATCAATCTGCCACCAGCTAATCAAACCCGATTGATTGGGGATACTGTGATACTTGCCTGTGAAGTTGGAATTACTCGCGAACCAGAAACAGACTTTGACATAACAGAGAGGGATTTTGAATCTAGACAGTCAAACATATTCTGGGTCAGGGGTACAAGATCAACTGGAGGTCTTCAGGAGAGAATTGAATTCATCCACCGAGATCGTGATCCGAGATTCTCACTCCTTCCAGGTGGAGGGTTGAAGATTGAATCTGTTATGGTGGAAGATACTGGAAATTACACCTGTCTCTTCCAGACAAACAACGGTCCCTACATGCAATCGAACTGGACGTCGTCCTTGCTGATTCTACCTAAGGATAGCCAGCCATCATTATTGACAGAACCGACTGATCCGCTTTCACCCCCGGAAAATCTCAGAGTTCAGAATCAGACAGCAAAGTCTGTTACCTTAATGTGGAATCCACCAAATGTCCATGATACTAACCAGGTTTCTTACTGGATTGAAATGTTCCATACCGCTGAAGCGGATCTTGGTTGGCAAGTATTGCAGGAATCATGGCCAAGAAATGCCATCAGATTGGAGCCTCTTCAGCCGAACTCCGCTTACTACTTTTTGATTCGACCGAGGTGGATCGACGGTAGAGTTGGATGGGCTAGTGCACCCCTGGGACCTATACAAATGCAGTACGGAGTTGACCGGCAGTCAACAGGAGTGCCTGGTGTAATCAAACTGGAAAGAATGCTACCACAAGTAATCTCATCAACATCAGCACGAGTGATTTGGAGTTTGGAGAATCCAGTAGATGCTATACCTGCGGTTCGAGGATTTTCTGTACGCTACAAAGAAGCGCCTCTTACTGCATGCATCTCCGCTAGACTTCACGATGCCACCTTTTGTAGCCTTCGATCTGGAGATTCAATAAAGATGCGCCTACACACATACCAACAAAAGCTCAACATTGCTTCATTGAAAGCCACCCAGGGGGTTTCACTTGTTCCACATCAAGAACCAGAGATGTTTGTTGATGTTCCTATAAATCAAGCTCATGATTTCGGTTCCTCTTGGTCTACAACTATCACACATTTAAAACCATTTCGATGCTATTCTCTCCTTATTCAGCCCAATACTGTCTACCCAAGACAGAGTAGTAATGAAAGTGCTCTCTTTTTGACTCAAGAAGATGTACCCTCCTCACCCCCACAAATAATTGGAGTTAAGAAGATGTCCAACCATAGTGTGGAAATCTCTTGGACCGTTCCCCCTACAGATTCATGGAATGGACTTCTAACAGGTTTTGTTGTTTATGTTCTTAATGCGGCTCAGAATGATAAGAGAGAGTTGAAGTTCAGTTATGGAGATACAACTGGCGTTGTAAGTGGTTTGAAGACCGGAGAGATCTATCATCTTCAAATGGCAGCTGTGAATTGTAGGGGTAGTAGTTCCAAAAGCATTCCGATCAACTTTTCTGTTTCTGAAGGGGGAATAATAAATGAAAGCTCACCTGCTGATGGTAATAATGGAGGCATTCATCTTCAACCGTGGGTCATCGGAATTTTAGTTGGTGCGCTAGTGATCTGGCTGCTGTTGATGTTCTTTGGTGTTCTTTTCTGCCTACGACAGAGAACTCAAACTAAACAGCGTTATCTGCCACCCGTAGGAGGAGGTTTTAGTGAAGATTTGGCTCGAAAATGCAGCGGAATGAATTCGAAAGGGGCTTACAATCTTCTGCCGATTAACAAACCACATTCGAACTCTGGCGGAGCTAGTGAAATGGAATGTCCTCAAGGAAGTGACTCGGCCCCGAAAGCGCTTACTTCTTCTACTCAGCAAAATACTACTACTACGATTGCGAGCACTAATAGCTCTTCTACTGGCGGAAGCTGTAATCCTACAACGAATCATTTTCAGCAATCTTACGAAGAAGGAATTCCAAATCAGCACTCAGATTTCTCCCCCTCTACAAACTTTTCTTACATGCCAAACCAGCACATGGAGTACCAGTTAGTTGACTATCGTCAAGCTGAAGCTTCAAATAGCAGTGTATTCTCTGCATCACTGATTGAAAACAGTCCAAAAACCTCTACTGGGCTGCCGTTAGTTGCACCTGTGGCACGACTGGGCTGTCAGAATGGAAATATTTCAATGGACAATATGAGCTCTAGTGTCACGCCTTATGCCACTGCGTCTTTAATCAACGCTGAAGTTCAGAAGGCGAACGCAATTTCTCATGGAAGTCGAACTCCCTCTGATATGTCATCGAACACAGGCGGATCCGGACATCTGCCTATGTTGAACATGCATAGCCCACACAGATATTCAGCTCGTCCGCAGCAATACATCTCACGCTCAAGTTCTGGAACAACTACAGGAGCGGAAGATGACTACCTTTCCCACCAGCATAACCAACAGCATGTTTCCAGGAGGAAAACCATTCCTAGAAATATACCTTCCAACTCACAGATCCCTCCTACCTTCGCCGAATATGAGCTGTGCATCCCTGCCTCTACATCACCTCTGCCGCCACCACCTCCACCAATGCATCAAAACCAAATGTCAGTTCAGGCTCCTACTAATGGTGGCATGCATACTACGTGTTTTGAACCGTGATAGGTTCGCGTGGCTGGTGCCTCTGTTCCTTTCGCTGAGTTGTATGTATAACACAGATAGACGCAAACTAGCAATTACTTTGATCCCCTTTATGATGTAGCCCACTTCTAGTTCACTCCTCCAACCCCCCCGGCCCCACCTCCTCTTCTACTCTCACCGAT